GAATTTCTTTTTTTTTTTTATTTTTGATTTTATTAATTTTTGGAAAGATAAGCTTTCAAAATGCATTTGTAGGACTTTAACCGTTTGTAGCTGCATATCTCTGACAAGTGGTCGAGATGGCACAAACTGTTTGCATCATTGGTGTTTCCGGATAGGTGTAACTGATAGTGTACAGTAATTGAGTCGGTTGAGTATAAAACTGAAATAATCAAGTAACCATAAATATTTGTGCGTCAGGAAAAACGAAACTTCAGTTTGTCAGGAAATGGGCTTAATGAAGGTTAGGAAAGAAATTTAGATGTTGAAGACGCTCTGGAATTTTGTTTTGTTTAGTAATTAAGTTTGATCCAGAAATTTGAGGGCAATTTAAATTTTTTATAATAGTTGACAAAAGGTTTTTGGATTCATTTGTTTGAATTTTTGAATAACTTTTCCAAAAAGCTGTGGTTTGAATTTTGTTATTCCTTTAAAAAACAACAAAGGAGGTTCCTGTTATTGTTCTGTTGAAATTAACTTCTTTTGTTATAGATTTGTTGTAATGATGATTGTAATTGCGGTTTTCAAATCACAATGAAAACCATAGCCGAACGAACCCTCCATGTGCTGCATACATCAAGCGATTTGCCGCCGTGATACAGTGGTCTTGTAAAAGCGATTTCAACATTTCCATAAGATATACTTTGGTTCGACGTTGCTGCAATGTTCGGATAGCTCTTCTCCAATCGACTATCCTGAAAAAATTTGAAGCTATAAGGCTGTAAATTACGATAAAGGAGGCTAATCCTTGATCATTGGTTTTTTTTTGAAATGGACAGGCGTATTTGTAGAGAGCTAATAACTTCTTAGTGAAAGATGAGACAGGAAATATAATACTAGAATTTAAAACTGAATAAAGTGTTTTAATCTACGGGTTTTTTATTCATTTAAAACTAACAATAAGGGAGGCTGAAGATACAGTAACAGTTTGTCCGTTATTGATTTCGACAATAATGGCATCGGCAGGACCTTCCTGAAAAGAACAGGAAAAAATTTACACACCAGCTTAAAGTTTAGTGTTTAGTAAATCAGGTGATTGGAAGCAGAAATATCAGGTAGAGTAGGAAAATAAGTTGCTCTCAAAATTGTCATTTTTTTCTAACAATTCGACCTTTTTTTTTATAAGAGGAGGAAGTACAAATGAAGCATTAAGGCAATTCGACTTCGAATGACCACTTATTTACAAATCATGGTTATTTGTATCACTCACTGCTATTTGAAACAAAATAATTTTATGCATAAATAATCTGTTAGTAAAACTTTGGTAAATTAAACTGACATTCACTGCTGCTGTAGAAAGAAATCGTAGAATTTTTTTTATTTTATTTTATAGATGAATGAACTTTTTGGCAGGCACCAAAAAATAAAGAGTGTTGGTGCAACAACGTAATCACGGTTTTCTTGTTATGTTTTACTTACAGAAGGATCTCCGAATGCCACACCGGTCCAGTAATTGCCATTAGTTGGATAATTTGGATGAGTGTAGTGAAATGTAACTGAACCAGCGGTATCTGCAGACCAACTTAGCGAATATCCATTCGATGCTTGTAGTATACATGGTGTAATTCCACTATACTGCTGTAGTTGTCGTGGTTGACGTTGAATCAGTTGTGCAAACACTACTTCTTAAATAGAATCCACTTAGTACATTGATTAGCTACATGTAATTTTTCATAAGCTTTTTTGTATTGATATAGCGCAAAAATAAGGTGGAAGTTTACTGTCTTGTGTTCCTTGGTTATTTGTTAGAGCATTCTTCCAAATAAAACTAAACTTTCAGCAACAGTTCTCATAAAATTGCTGAATACTTGTCAATCGCTATCTATTATCGTTTTATCGACAGCAATAATTACACTGATAATAATTAATAAGAAATCGTAGGAAGTTTAAGATTTGTTGTGTAAAATTGGGCAGCTTTACAGAAGAAGATTAGTTGGTGAAGTACAAATGGTAATCAAAGAAGAAGGCAAATAAGCTGAGAAAAACAAATTGGAGTTTTAGTAAAAAGTGAGAACTGTAGAGCAAAGGTTAAACAGATAAAAAATTCTTCTTGATCTTGCCGAAATTTTTTGCTTCTGAAGTGGAACTATGTTAAGTGTTAAAGTTTTCAGGTTTTTCAGTTGAAGTACACTTTTTTTTTGATGCAAAGTGATAACTTTTTGAAGAAATGAAGCATCAAGAAACTTGAACAAATGTTTATAAATTAAGTTCTTCATTCTTTTTTTTCTAGTTTTTTTTTGCTTATAAAAACTTCACTTAATATAACTAAAAGTTCATTCACAGATATTTCAAATTTTTTTCAACTTAATCAATTGATTTTTTTTTGACACTTAATTAGAAGGAAAAAGCCGAAAAAAAAATAGCAAATTTATTAACTACTAATTAAAACTATATAAATACAGCTAAAAGTGTCTTAAAAGAGAGAAGAAAACGATGATATAAACATTAAATCAATTACCAGTTCTTAAAATTTTTTACATTATATTTGTCGTCAAATACATAACATATAAGCAAAAAACGATTTAAAATATTTGTTTCTTAGAAGACAAATTGTCGGGAGCGATTTGGTCAGACTGATTTATGTTTTTCAGATTGAACTTTTTGTCTCTTTTCTAAAAAAAAAAATTTTTGGAGCAAAAAAAAAGAGTTGCTACTCTATAAAATAAATTTTTCGATATTATCAGTCTACTTTCTGAGCAATATTTTCTTGTTACCGTTTTACTTTTTTTTTCTGTTTCTTATAACACTTCTTTAACTGTTTGTAAAAACTTATCAGTTTTATTAGACAGGAAAAAGCAAAGATCAGACAGGTCTACGCACATTGTATGTATGCTTTTAACAGGCTAATAGATATGTTCATTATTTGGTATATAATATTTCGTTCTATTAAAGTTTTGGTTAATAGTAAATGTAAACAGCAATTGCTTTTTTTTGACAACAAAAAAAACACACACACACACTGACAAATATATAGGGGTATAGGGGTATATATATGTGTATTATGAAGGTAAATGTTATTTCCGCAGAACTAAACTGGTTTCACTGTATTGTAGTATTCAGTTGGGTTTGTATTTGTAGAAATTTGCTCAAAAATGGACAAAAACTATTTTGCAGCTATTAAACAGCAGAAGCACAGTAGCAAAATTCTTTTTTTTTTTTCGACTTTACATTAGACTTATGGGATACAGCCAACTGGTCTAACAATCTCAGCTTATTTTCCAGAAACCTATTTTGAATGACAACAAAACAACAATTTTTTGCTGTCTTTTCGTCTGTGCAAAAAGTATTGCAACAAATCCTACTCTTTATGATAGTAGGTAATCTTTTACTATTTTTTTACTATTTTAAATAACAGTATTTCTTGAATTCTCTCAATTATATTCGATATAAAGTTGGATCTCTATTGTCGCTTTATCTGAGCATCAGGTCCACTACAAATTAGACATTCAAAATAAGAGGTGTTTAAATTCAGAACAATTTAAAAGAACACATTTTGTGAATTACTGATGTCTCACTAAATACTTGTACAGTTATTAAAATAAATCAAGTATCAATTAAGATTAAAGTTCATTTCTTTTTCTTTTTTATCTCAAAAAACGATTCGGTTTCTATTTGTGCACTGCCGTAATATTATGACTTGCTTTGTTTTTTCCTGCCCTCGAAAGTACTGTCTTATAACCAAAGAAAAAATAATTAAACCGATAAAGAAATAAATTTTTTAAAAATCTTTGGCCAATTAGGTTTAAAAAAAAAGACAAGAATAAATTGCAGTTCAAACATACGGGTCAAATACTGCAGAGTTCATGTAAAATACAATTGATAATTGATAAGTTCAAAGTAGGAGAATTGAGGGTTGCCGGCAAGAAAACAGAATGATCAATATAGGCAAAATGAAAAAAATTATTTTTTTTACATATCAACCAGTTGATTCTCACTAATACACTGAGTTACTGAGACATATATGGAAAGTGTACTTACCGGAAACTAAAACGATGCTGAAAACGACTATATACCGCCAGGTATTGATGGTATTCATCTTTTAAGACTTTCACAACGACACACTGCTGTGACAACTCCAAAAGCACTGAGGTTTCCCAATTCTTTGGACTTAATTTTATAAATGTTTGTTGAAA